CCGCACCCCCCACCCGCACGCCCACGCCCCGCACCCCCCACCCGCACGCCCACAACCCGCACCCTCCACCCGCACGCCCACGCCCCACACCCGCATGCCCACGCCCACGCCCCGCACCCACCACCCGCATGCCCACGCCCCACACCCGCACGCCCCGCCCCGCACCCCCCACCCGCACGCCCACGCCCCGCACCCTCCACCCGCACGCCCACGCCCCGCACCCTCCACCCGCACGCCCACGCCCCACACCCTCCACCCGCACGCCCACGCCCCACACCCGCACGCCCACAACCCGCACCCTCCACCCGCACGCCCACAACCCGCACCCGCACGCCCACACCCCCCACCCGCACGCCCACGCCCCGCACCCTCCACCCGCACGCCCACGCCCCGCACCCTCCACCCGCACGCCCACAACCCGCACCCTCCACCCGCACGCCCACAACCCGCACCCTCCACCCACACGCCCACGCCCCACACCCTCCACCCGCACGCCCACAACCCGCACCCTCCACCCGCACGCCCACAACCCGCACCCTCCACCCGCACGCCCACGCCCCGCACCCCCACCCTCACGCCCATGCCCTGAACCCTTCTCTCACACAGGGTGGCATGCAGCACGCAGCAGGACCTCCGTGATGAGCACCCTAACCCGTGGGCTGAGGCCCGGGAGCACCCGTGCTCCACCAGCCCCCGGTGATGCTGGGGATGGGACAGTGTGAACGTGTGTCCCCCTTCCCCCCCCCCCCCGCCGCTGCAGGACAGGGGACAGCTGGCTTCATCCCCAGGGTAGCTCCTCCAGGGTCCCAGGAGGCGACATTGTACAACTGCACAAAAAGGTGACCCAGGCAGACCATCTAGAAGAGGGACAGGGCACCCGGCAGCTGGCACGCAAAGGGACCACACAGCCCAAAGCTGGCACGGAGGTTGATCACACAGATGTTCTCGGGGTGTCAGGCCCCACGCTGCCCTGGGGTACCTCAGGCCCCTTCTGCCCCTTGAGGCGCAAGTGACCCCAGGCGCTGGGGCCCCGTGTGCTGGTGCTGCGGACCACAGGCCAGCACCGTGCCATGCCCGGGAGTCCCCACTTCTGGGTGGGAAGCAGGGCAGGGCGGGGCCTGCAGCAGTCAGCGCTCCACCATCTCCTGCTGGCTCTGTCTGGAGGCTGTGTACAGCATCAGGGCCCCCCCAGGTGCCACCCAACCCCGGGGCACAGGCATCAGCTGGCCCCTGGCCAATCCACACTGCGACGCACCCTGCACCCTGCGTGCCAGGTGATCGGAGACATGGCCACTCCCCCACAGCAGGTGTTTCTGCAAAGGTAACCTCCCTCCCCACCCCACCCCCACCACTGCCGCCAGGGCGCACTGAGCAAGGCAGAACCGCAGGAGGGGCTGAGCAGGGCACAGCAAGCATTTCCAAATGCCCTCAAGCCGCTGAAAACACTAGCCAAGTGGCCTGGGGTCATGGGTCACGGGTCATGGGCCATGGTCACGACCGGAGTCACTCTGGCCTGATCACGTCACTGTCCATGGACACAGCCTTGTGGTGTTTGGGGATTAACGCAGTACAGGAAATTTAAAGCTAAACACCAAAAAAGCTCCCTTTCGCCACTCCCGGCCAATACACCCGGGAGTCCTTCCCCACCCAGGGCTGCCCACAGACATCCCCGGGGAACACAAACCACTGCAGCCCTGAACGCCAGCCACCCTTCCACCCTGCAAAGGTCACATAGTGACCTCGCTGGTGGCAAGTGCATGGAGTCCTCTTCCTGGAAGGCAGAGGTCCTGTCTGCCACTGTCCCCACCAGAGCCCAGGCCTGAGTGACCTAAGATCCTGTCTGTGACCAAAGACTTAGCTCCTCACAGCAGCAACGGACTCAAGGTTGAGAACCCCAGAGATCTAAGCAGAGAAGGGGCAGAGGAGGCTGTTTGGAAGGCCTCTGCCTTCACTTCCGCTTTCCCAGTGGTCTCCAGGTTCAGAACAAGGCATCTGGAAAGTGTATTCCTCCTCGCAGTTAGCCCAGCCCAGCACGCCCCTCCCCTTAGAAGAGGCAGTCTGTGCTTGAGCGAGGCCCAAAGACCACGCTGCCCAGCCACTGCAGAAAGGAGAGTGCCAATGCCAGCCCGGCAGCTTCCAGCAGGCTCTGCCATCCAAGGGGGCCTGACCAGGTGTCCCAGGGGCCTGGACCTGGGCAGAGTGGCCAGGCCTCCGTGGTGAGCGGGGAGCCTGTGGGTGCAGAGCGCCAGGAGTCCGGAGGAGCAGATCTGTAGCTGCCCAACAGGCAAGCAGTGACAGATGCTCCACAGAACTCAGACGCTCGTGGCGGGGAGAGGTGCCAGGCAGCGACATCTCTGGGTCAGGGCTATCTTTCCATGGCTTCACAGTGGAGCGCGTGCCAGGGGCGGGCGGCGGCCCTCCCTGCCCACCCAGGCCCTTCCCCACCCACGCAGTACGCAGGGACGGGGGGGGGGGGGGCCTGCGGGCGCAGCAGTCGGGGACCCGGAGACAGCCTACAGGTAGCTGCCAGCAGCGGCAGCAGTCCAAGGACCCCGGCCCACACCCCCTTCCTCCCTTGCCTTTCTCCTCTGTCTTTTTAAACATTTTCTTTTGCAGGGTTGAAAGCTGATTCACTAATGAGCAAGCACTTAGCAGTGAGCGGCTCGGGAGCCCTAGGAGGTTCTGAAACATGCCGTGTCCCTGCTAAGTGGTTTCCCGCGGCTCCCTCCCACGGAGTTCTCAAACCGCACACAGAGGAAGCGGAACGCGAATGTGGAAGGCAGGCTGGGACGGCCCCTGGCTGAGCCCCCCCCCCCCCCGGCCCCCCCTCCGCGGCGCCCATCCGCACATTCTTGTGAACTTGCTGTGCCGGCCCCTCCCCGAAACACCACCGGTCACGCCTGCCCTGCTTCCCGGACCTGGAACCTCGCCTGGTGCACAACAGGCCCTCCAGAAATACTTGCCGGATGGAATGGGAAAGAGAGAGGGAGAGAGGGAAAGAGGGAGAGGAGGGAAGAAAGGAAGGAGGGAGGGAGGGAGGCCAGAGGCTCGCTCTTCCCATCCGTTACAGCTGCCTGGGAGCACAGCAGCTCCTCGTTCCCGCCACGCAGGGGGCCTGAGCCCTGCAGCGACCCTCCACCCCCCGCCACACAGGCCCGGCCCGGCCCCTCCAGCTGTGGGACCGAGGCCACCCCCAGCCCGTACCACATTTGAAAAGTTGGTCCAGCTCCTCTCCGCCGGGCTCACTTCTTTCCCTCGGCACCGCTGCCCACAGGAGGGGGAGCCGCAGAGCGCGCCCTGCCTCTGCGCCCTGTGCCAACAAAGCCTTCTTGTTTCCCAGGCCAGGCTCCCGCAGGCCCCGGGGTGGGGTGGGGCAGCCCAGGGGCCTGGAGGTCGGGCCAGCCCCAGACACCTCCCAGATGTGACTTGAGTGTCAAAGGCAGGCGTGGATGGGAGGGCCCGCGGGTGGGTCACCTGCTTCAGAAACAAGCGCACAGAAGGCGGCTGCATGTAGGCTGACCCTGCAGCTGCACAGCCCGCTCCCCATCCCCACTACCCTGCCTGAGGGACCTCGGCTTCTAACTGGCCCTACCGGGGTTTGAACTCAGTCTCATGCTGCCTTGAAAAGCCCTCTGCTCCGGAGCCCCATCTTCAGCCTGGTGTCTTCAGTTTCCTCCAGTGGCAGTCCACCAATATCCAGTCACACAGTTCAGCTCTTCCGTGGGGAGACCCCCCCCAGGGTGCGCAGGCTGCCGGGGCGCAGCACCCATCGGCCTCAGCCTCTCATGAAGAACTGCCCACCTTCCACCAGATTCCCCCCCTGCCTGCGGGGGTCCTTGGGGGTCCAGCGGGCCCCACTGCCTGACCTGGGGTGCTTACCTCTCCCCCCACCGTCACCCCATCCTCCCGGCGTCCCCTCAGGCCACGGCGCTGTGTATTTGCTTCCCAGCCAAAGATGCCAACCGAGCAGCCATGATCAGAAGCTGCCAGGAGGTGGGCAGGACTGGAACTAGGACCTGTCCTGCTCCAATCCCGGGCTCCTCCCCCGGGGCTGCACGCTGCGCCCTGGAGGTGGGAACTTCTCCGTTCAACCCAGACCAAGGCCACTGGAGGCCTGAAACCGAGGCGGGAAGGGAAGGAGGCCCAGGCAGCATGTGGAGAGAGCACCCAAGTGGGCAGACACCACTTCGGGGAGGCTGGCAGGCCTCTGTCCCCAACTCTCTCTTACACACCCCCATCACACAGGACAGCAGCCATTCATTCCTCAACAGGCCAGCCCCACGCGCCTGTGGCCCTCTGCGGGCCTCTGCTGGTCACCGGCCAGGCTGTTGGGCGCCGGGGCCAGGGCAGCGACCGCATTCACAAATGTCCCCTCTCCAGCCCCGCGGGGCAGCCCCCACCGCAGCCCTGGAAAAGCCTGATCCAAGTCCCCGGAGCAGCACAGAGGTGGTCGCCCGGAGGAGGAGGGTCACCCCTGGAACAGAAAACCCCTAGATGGACGGAAGTCTGTTCAGACCAGTCACATTCCACAACTGAAAACCTGTGGGTATCTGCTTTGAGGCAACCAGAAAGTCACACGTAAACGTGGTGAACTGGCGTGGAAAACTCTGGAAGAGTGAAGCGGCCTGGAACCACAGCAGAGCAACTCCCCGCCGGTGTGTCTCTACCTGAGCGCAGAGCGACCTCTCTGGGACCGCACGGGTGGCCAGTGTTATCAGGCGGACCGCAGGCGCCCTCCCCCTTCCTCCCATGGACAGATTCCCCTGCAGACACGGCAGCTGCGGCCCCAGCCTGCCGGGCCCCGCAGGACCTCAGGGGAGCACCGGGGACGCCCCAGCTTCGCTCTCCTCCTGCCCCAAGCCTCCTAGGGTGGTGGCGCGGTGACCAACGGAGGGCACCTGCTGCTGGAACACACCCCACAGGCCCCACGAAAGGCCTTGCCGCTCCCTTCCCCGCACACCTGTCGGAGGAACAAGCTAAAATGAGAAGCTGCCGCTTACCTTTGTTGCTGTGGCCGCCGGGGAGCTCCAGCCCGTAGATCCCTGGCGGGCGGTCCCTTGGCCTGCACACACCAGGGTCCCACATTCCACACAGGCACCAATGATCAGCTGCCGCCCGTCGTCCACCAGCAGGCTGTGGCTAGCTCGCAAGGTGTAGAGGAACAAGGGCAGCCTGGCCACCCGCACGGACTTCAGTCCCAGACACCGCTTTTTCTCACGCTGGCAGAAGAAGCAGACGAAGGTCTCCACCTGGTACTGCCGAGACCAGGCGCTGAGGGTGTGGTGTGCGCCTCGCGCCTCGTGCTGCAACCACTGGCCCAGCAGGTCGTGGTAGCAGAGCAGGCAGGTAGCCACCAGCCCGGTGGAGTCGGCCGGCCGGGCCCGTGGGGCAGGCGGGTAGACGGTGAGGAAGGGGAAGAAGGGCTCCTTCTCGCCCAGGCGGCTGGCGGGGTTCACGTTGAGCTGGAACTCCTTCCCGGGGCCCAGCTCGGCCCCGCAGATGTAGCAGACAGACGCCAAGCCCCCGTGGGCAGGGGTGGGCGGCTCGCCGAGGGCCGGGTCCGAGGCGGAGAAGGCCTGGTGGTACCTGCCCAGGAAGCCCTGCACGGAGCTGATGAGCTCCTGGTCTTGGTAGGCTCGGTACAGGGCCCAGATGTCCTCCAGGACGCTGAAGCACTTGGGGCAGCTGCGCACCTCGGAGCGCTTGTTGGGGGCCCGTGCGTTGGGCGGGCAGGGCAGGAGGGCGAGGAAGGGGAAGTGCATGGTGCTCCTGGCGTTCCCGTTGAGGATCCGGGAGGGCACGGCCCGGGCGTCCTGGGTGCAGTCCTCCCCGCAGAGGTAGCAGGCCTCCGGCAGGGCCCCCGGGGGTGGGGCCTCCTCCCTGGGGAGCCGCCCGCCCTTGGAGGCCATGCCGGGCGCGTGGCTGGTCAGGGGCACCACGTAGAGTCGCTGCAGGACGGGCACGTCGGCCAACTCGAAGCTGTGCCACTGCTGCATGAGGGAGGAGAAGCAGCAGGCGCACACCAGGGTGCTGCCCGCCTCGCTGATGGGCTGGGCGCCGGGCGGGGGGCTGTGCAGCCACAGGAAGGGGAAGAAGGGCGCCGGGGCCGGCTTCTCCTGCTTCTGCACGAGGATCTGGCGCAGGGAGGCCGGCGACAGCGCCGAGCCGCAGATGTAGCAGCAGAGGCCCTCTGGCGGCCCGGCCTGGCTCTCCACGAGCGCCCGGGGGACGCGGCCGTCCTTGTCCTTCGCCTCCCCGGAGGCCGGGCGCGGCGGCGGCGGCGGCGCGCCGAGGCCCAACTCCTCCTGCTCCTCCTCCTCTGCTTCCTCCTCCTCCTCCTCCTCCTCCTCCTCCTCCTCCTCCTCGCCGCTGGTGATGTTGACATCGCTGTCGCCCTCGGACCCGCCGCCGCCGGCCCCGGGCGCCCCCGGCGGCCTGCTGGCGGGGGGCTCGGCGGGCTCGTCCGAGGGGGCGCGCTCACCGCCGTCCGGGCGCGCCGCCGGGAGGGGAGGCCCGGGCCACGGGTCCGGGAGGCCCCGGAGGACGCTGGCGCGGGGCTCGGGGGCCCAGGGCCTGCCCGCGGCGGCCTTCCCGCGGCGCCGGGCTCCGCTCCCGGGCTCCGTGTCGCCGGCGGGGGGCTCGGAGGGGCCCCCGTCCTCGTCGGCGGCCGCCGCCGCCGCCCGCGTCGGGGTCTCGGCGCCCCGTCCGGGCGGGGGCGCCGGCGGCCTCCAGTCCTGGCGGCGGGGCGCGTCCCGGCGCGCGGCCGGGCCCGGCTCGGACGCGGGGTCGGTGTCGGACAGCTCCGACAGCTCCGAGTCCGCGGGGTCGGCGGCGGCGCGGGCCCCGTCGGGGGGCTCGCGGGGGGCGCGCGGGGGGCCGGCGCCGCCGCCCGGCGCGTAGGCCGCGTTCCACTCGCGGGGGGCCCCGCGGCGCCCGCCCGCGCCCCCCGCGCCCGCCGCGCCCGCCGCGCCGCACTGGTGCGGGCGCTTGAGCCAGTACATGCGCTTGTCCACCGGCGTGCGGGCGCGCTCGAAGGCCGCCCACTGCTCGCCCAGGAAGCAGCGGCACACGGCGCACACCAGCACGCAGCCGTCGGCCGCCGAGGGCCCGCGCGCGCCGGGCGCCGGCTCCTGCTGCTGCAGGAACGGGAAGAAGGGCTGCGCGGGCCCCGCCGCGCCCGCCGCGCCCGCCGGCCGCTTCACCTGCAGCTTCAGCTCCTTGCCGCGCCCGATGCCGCCGCCGCAGACGAAGCAGGAGAGCGCCGCGCCCGCCGCGCCCGCCGCCGCCCGCTCGCCCGCCGCGGCCATCAGCCGCTGCTTGCGGGAGACCGGCGCCGGCCGCCCGCTCATGGCCGCTCCGCGCCCGCCCGCGCCGCGCCCAACTCGGGCCGCCGCGCGCGCCCGCCGCAAACTTTCCCGGGCCCGGGCGCGGGCGCACGGCCGCCCGCAGCGCCGCCCCCCGGGGCCTGAGCCGCCCCCCACCCCCGGGCCCGCGGAGCCCCCCAGCGGCGCCGGCGAGCGCGCCCGGAACGCGGCGGCGGCGGCCGGAGCGGCGGCCGCATGTGCGAGCTCGGCGCCTGCCAGAGCCGGGGGTCATTTAATTGGGGAGGAGGAGGAGGCGGGGCGGGCGCGGGGGCGGGGCGCGGCGGCGGGGAGCCCCTCCCCCGGCCGGCCCCCTCCCTCCGCCCGCGCCCTCCCCCGCGCCTGCCCCCCCTCCGCGGCGTCCCAAACTGCGCACAATGGCTCCCCAGCTCCTCTATCTATTTTGTGTCCAGTCCGGGCAGCGCGATGATTCATTGGCCCAATTAGGGGCGCTCGCCCGCCCTCCCTCCCTCCCTCCTTCCCTCTCTCTCTCTCTCTCTCTCTCTCTCTCTCTCTGTCTCTTTCTCCCTCTCTCCCCCTCCCTCCCTCCCCCCTTCCCTCCTTTACCTCATCCCTCCCTCCCTTCCACTCCCTCCCACCCCCACTACTTGGCCTGGCCTAGACAGGGCCCTCCAGGACCCGCCAGAGCCCAGGCCTTGGCCCGAGGCCAGTCTTTAAGGAAAGGTCACGCAGGACACAGAGGAGCCAGGTAAGCACCCTGCCAGGTCCCAGAAGGACATCATTCCCCAGCGGCCGGGTGCCCAGCCCCTTCCCACCCGAAGATCTCTGGGCTGGGGGCTTCTCAGGACCCAGTTTCCTAAATTTGGAGAGCCAGGGAAGAGCTGTGCCCTGGGTATCCCCAGAGTGACCTGTGAATGCATCCCTAGCACCCAGCCCTCAGCCTGCCCACCCCTCCCCACCACGGGGTCTCCCACAGCAAATATAAAGGGTATCATGTACCCCCCCTGGGCCGTGGCCTCAGCCTTTCTGGGCTCCTTCCCCTGGTGTTAATATTGCGGCCCAGTTGTTTGCACACGTCATGCATCCGGTGGAGGTGGCAACACGCACTTGACACACCTGGGATGGATGGATGTAGCACGGAAGCCCAGGCCCTGGAGTGCCCGGCACGGCTCCGGGCACCTCCTGCACGCCTCAGCTGCTTTCCCACTAATACGCCATCACCCCATTTTACAGGTAATGGGGAAGGGGTGATGGAGTGCTGTTACTCCTCCAAAGAGGCCCAGTAGGATGGAGACCCCGGCAGCAAGGCCCCAGGCCCCTGCTGTCTGCCCCAGGAGTGCAGCCTCCAGAGACAGACATCTGGTTCTTGTTGCCCTGTCGCCCTTCTGCTGGCAGAGACTCAACCACACACATGCATCCCTCTCTCTCTCACACACACACACACACACACACACACACACACACACCCCTCCCCAATGCCTCAGCCCAGGCTGGGAAGCCTGGAGTAAATCCGCTCCCTAGACCCCATGTCATGCCACCTTTGCAGCTTCTGGATCCCATGGGTCTGATTTCCTTTCCAGCAGTGTGCAGCTGTCCTGACCCGCCAGCTGGAGCCGGAGTGGGCTGGGGACAGAGGTGTGGGGTGAGCCTTCCCCACTCTGGGTGCTGACACTTAAATGAAAGCCGGCTTCCTCTTGGCGCTGGCCTTATACACGCAGAAAGAGAGAAGGGGCTTCCTGGGAATCCCCGGCTATCCGATCTTTCAGAGCTCACATGCAGGGATTAACCGAGAAAGCGTGGGGGCCAGGGAGGGGGCCTGTGGGCCTGGCAGCCCAGGGAGAAGCTGGCTCAGCAAGCTGTCCTGTGGACCCCTGGGAGTCCAAGCCGTGGCTTCCGGCTCCTGGCATTTTTTTAATACCTGGAGAGAGGAGTCTGCTCATGGTATCCTTCCCAAATGGGCCTGTGGGCTGCCCTCGGGTGGAAATGCAGGTCTTGGTGGAGGTAGGCGACCCCTCACCCAGGCCGCCCCCTGCTCTCAGGCCCCGCAAAGCCCTCTGGCTGCTGCTCTTTAGTGTGGGAGACAGCCATCCTTTTTGCTTTTCTGTCTGCTGATCCTCGCCTGACCTCCCATTCCTCCCGTGTTCCCTCCTGAGGGCAGGGCCCAGGGCTGGCTGGCTCACTCCCCGGCCAGGTCTGACTTGCTGCCTGGGGCCCAGTCCTGTCTGTCCCCTGTCAGCGTTGGGAGCCTGAGGCAGACCGCTTAGCTCAACAGTCTGTTTCCTGCTTTTGGCAGTAGAAGGGGCTGCAGTTCCTGACCTTGGACTCAAACAAGACATAGAAGGCTGGCTGCCCTGAGCCAGGGCTCCAGTGACTCCAAGTGGCTGTACCTATGTGCAGTCCCTCCACAACCCTTCCCAGTGTGTCAGGAAGCTCTCCTGCTCCCCTCAGCACTCCAGCATCGGGGGCCACTGTGCCAAACTCAGGCAGAGAGCCTGTGGTGGGGCCAAGGTCACAGGGTCACACGGAGAGGCGTGGGGCTCCCAGCGAGCGATGGCCACGTGCCACGTGTGTGAATCCGTGCAGTGTAGGCATGCACATGTGTGCGCGTGTTCATGTGTGTGGGTGCACCTGAGAGCAGGTACAGGCATACAGGTGTGTGCGCGTGCATGGGGGGGGGTCCGTGTGTGAGTGTGGGAAGCGTCCAGCTGGTGTTTGTGTTTCTCTCAAGGCCCTCGTGGAAGAAGGAAGGAGACAAGAGGTGGGTGGAGCTTAGTTGGGGAGGGTTGGGGGTGAGGAGCGGAATCACAGCTCCGATGACTGCCACATGGGCCAGGCCCACGCCTCGACCTCTCTGAGCCTCAGAGAGGCTGGAAAATAGAGCTGAATGGATGGCACACCGTGGAAGGTGGGGGGAGAAAGGATCCTCTGCGTACTGGATGGTGTCCATCGTCCCTGCCCCTTGTTGACAGGTTCAGTGACACCCCAGATCTTGGTTGAGACTGAGACTCAGAGGAGGGAAGACACTGACCAAGGACACACAGCACGGAGAATGAGGAGCGCCAGCTGTCAGCCTGTGGGGCAGGAGCAGCCAGACGGGCTTCACCTTCTTCTCTCGAGGGGCCCCAGTCCCACAGGTAAACCGAGGCCCTCACAGAGTCCTGGACAAGTGTTTCTATCAAATGTATGAAGATCTAACGGGACTGAGGCATCTGCCCGCCCCGCCCAGGGCTACCAAGCCAGCCTCCTCATCCCCAGCAGAGCCTCCTCCTCACCCTGCGGCCCAAGCTGCCTCTGGGGAAGGCCGGTCTCTCTCCACAGTGTGTGTGTGTGGCTCTGCTTCCTCCATGCTGAGACTGGAAAGTTCCGGCTCACACAGCCCTGGCACTGGCGCAGGGCAGTCACCGCCCACTTGTTCCACAGGAGACAGGAGGCGGAGGGCACGGAGCGTCTGCACGCATCTCCAGTTCACAGCTGCTGCAGGGGTGGCCCCTGCCCGGGGCCTGCCCAGCAATCACCAGGCGGTATTTTGTGTGTCTGTCTCTGGCTGCCTTTCCGGTGGAGCAGAGCCTGGCACAGGCTGTGATGATCAGAGCCAATCAGTGCTGGGACCGGGGACGCACAAGAATGCTAGGACAGGGAGATACCACAGCTCGGCAAGCTTCGGCTGCACCAGCCATCTCCCCCCTCACCCCACCCCACCCCCGCAGCCAGCACAACCCCCACCTGCCCCAGTGTCGTCCCTCACCCCGAAGCCATGCCCACGCCTCCACTTCCCTCCCAGGACCCCGTCACCCCTCCCACGCCCCTGCATCCTGCCTCTTCTCACACAGCCTCTGCTGTGTCTGGCCTCCTGCTTGCTGGAGACCAGAAGGGAAAAAAAATATATCATCTGCCTGTCCTATTTTTTTTTTCTTTCTGCCT